GCAAAGAGCCAAGTTGAAACTGTCAACAAGACCATCAAGCACACTCTAAAGGCCAAACTTGGGGCAGCCAAGGAAAATTGGGCCGACGATCTCCCCGAAGTTTTATGGGCGTACAGGACAACTCCGAGAACCTCCATCTCAGAAACGCCCTTTTCGCTAGCCTATGGCTGTGAGAAAATGATTCCTGTAGAGGTAGGAACTGGTTCTCTTCGGAGAGACTTGTACGATGAGGTTAAAAACGAAGCACTTATGAGAGCGAGTCTGGATCTTGTTGAGGAGCACCGCAGCAAGGCTTCGCTAAGGATAGTAGCCTACCAGTAGCGTGCGAAGAGATTCTTCGATTCAAAGGTCAAGCGAAGAGACTTTCAGGTCGATGACCTTGTGCTAAAAGAAGTTCTCCTCGGAATCAGGGAGCCAAGCGCGGGGGTATTAGGACCGAACTAGGAAGGTCCGTACCGGGTCGACAAGGTGATCAGACCGGGAACTTACCATCTCAAAAGGCTAAACGGTTCCAAAGTACCCCGAGCTTGGAATGCTGAGCACCTCCGGCCATACTATCAGTAATCCCGAACTCAGCTCTCATTGTAAATTAGATTTTGCTTTTGTTAGTTTCCTTTTTATTGTAAATTATTATCCTGTTCGCTTGTAACAATTCGCATGTAATATTGTCTATGTAAATAAACTAAGCTGTAAACTGCACTAATGTATGATTAAGCGAACAGAAATTGAAAGCAAAATGTATCTTCATTTATGTACAACAAAAATTGTTAACACCCTATTAATCCCCACTAGGTCGGTCTCATCGTACTATGCCTGGTCTGTGGGGGGATCCCTTGAAGCAGGACCCGAACTCTCTGCCTGGTCGGATCTTTGGGCGGCTGCCGCTGCTTCATCATCTTCCCTCGCCATGATCTGCAAGGTATCTTGCCACTCCCTTGGGAGATCGGACATATCCAGTTCTGGATTCTTTGGTCGCAGAGTATAAATGGACCCGATCGCCCAGTCTGCGGCCTTATCCTCGAGCTCCTCTGACCGGATCCGCATTTCTTCAGTCAAGGAAGCGACTTTTCCCCGACTCTCTTGGAGTTCAGCCTCAAGAGCTAGCCTTCCCTTTTCGGAGGTCTCCCTCTCTTGTTCTGCTCGCTGAGCCCGTATTAAGGTTGTCCGAAGCTCCTGGTCCTTCTCTCCGACCTTTTTAGAGAGTCTAGCGGTTGTCCTCTGAAACTCTTTCACTTCCTCCGCGCGTCGCTCAAGCTCCACCTTTTGAAAGTTGACTGTACGCATAGCGGCCGTCCTTTCGTTCAAATATCTATTCGCTACCTCATCAGACAGCGCTCTTTGTGCTTCAGCGTCCTGTAGGCTCTGTTTGAGCTTCACAATCTCCTCTTTCAGATCGTTTTCCCCCTTCGTGGCCCCCAACCGAGCTTTCTCCATGGACATCCTCATGGCGAGCAAAGCCTGCGAACAAGAATTGTTAGAATGAAAATGACAGACAAACTCTTCAAGAATAGTTCGTTTACCTTGCTTAGATGCTGGAACGACGTGGTCATCAGGTCGCCGCCCGTATCGGCGAACTCATCGTATGACTCCGATAGCCCACACTCGAGCAAAGAATAGACTATCGGCTGTAGGTAGTCGGGCAGGTTCCCCAATGAATCCAGCACTAGTGTGTCCTTCGCCTTGGCGGCAGCAACCGTCTCGTCCGCGGGTTCCTTGCCCAACCTCCTTCCGGTGCCCCGCCGCGAACTCAGAAGTTCAGCCTTTGATTCAGTCTCTGACTCGTCGGCCTGAATCTGCTTCCACTTCTTCAATCGCTGGGCAGGAGCCTTCCACCTTGGACGAGCAGGCAATGTCTGAGCGGTTTGTTCTGTCTTGGTCGTTTCTTCCATAGGACGGGGTTGGGAAGGCACCGCAATTCGCACCGGTTGCGCCACTGTGGGGCGAGCAGCTTCGGTTGGCTCTCCTCAATCGAGGGTAGTTGAATGGCGCTCGTCGGGGCTGCTCGGACTCTTTTGGAGGCATGGTCGCTGCATGAAAATGTGTTAGTAACTAAACAAAAATTAGTCAACGACCAGAAAAGAATATGTGTCCAACTTACGCTCTGGGGACTCCAACGACGCGTTATCGTTGAAAAAATCGTACTTCCGCAAGTTCGCGGTCGTCACGAGCTTCCTCGCGTCCCGACTTTCTTCAAGGAGGACCCTAAAACACACGATCCTGTCCGGGTCGGTGAGCAGGTCCAGGCTGGTCGTCTTGTTAACTGCAAAAGAATGCAGGTCATTAAAAAAAGCGAGCGAACAGTAAATGAATCTAGCGAACAGGAACCTACTTGGTTTCTGAAAGCGGCAGTAGTAGTCGTAGCAGAAGAAGAAGAACTTCGTCTCGTAGGCCCCTGCGTTGCTGGGATAGCTATGTATCCCTTCGACGATGGTAGATCGTCGGGACAAGTAATATGAGTCCTTGTCCTTACTCTTTTTGAGGTAATACGAGCAGCAGAGCTCCACTGCTGTTAGCTCGCCCAAGCCACTCTCGTGATACGAGATGTACATCGCAACGGCGATGACATACGCGTTTGGCGTTAATTGCATTGGTACGATCCCGAAGTGATCCAGGACTGACCTAATAAAAGGGTGGAGAGGAATCGTCCCCCTACCCTTGAAGATCTCTTCGGAGATCGCAGCTAGACCATCGGATAGATGCCGCGATGACCGGGTGGCGTCAAGGAACACCTCCGCGCGGACATCGAACTGTCTCTTTATCCTATCGAACTCTTTTCGGGTGAGAACCGAGAAGACCTCAAGGGATTCGTCCACGAGAACATCCCGCGAAGACGAACCGGCTTCCTTTTCGGATCTGGACGCTGAAGGTTCCATTCCGCAGTCTGCAACACCGACAGACAATGTCATTTTAGCCATCGTACGATGCCCCGTACGGCAGCTTGGAACAAATTCCCTAAAACCCAACAGTGGTTCGAGCCGCTATCCATAGCAGGAACCCAATTCCAGCGTCGCGTCTCTGACGAAATATCGGATGACCCAACGCCACCACATAAACACAAAAAAAAAAAAAAAAAAAAGAGGAACAAAAAACCCTTACCTTTTGGGGGACATGATCGTGGACGGTTCTTGCTTCAGGTATCAGAGAGATGTCAATCGGAAAAGAAAGGCTTTCGATTTGCAGAGAGTTTTCGCTTGAGACAAAAGGGATTCTGGCGGCCTCATCTGAAAAATCTGGGTTTTTATATGGACTACGAACCGACGTTTACCACCCCTTGGAATCGAAATGACGTCTCTCTCTCTCTCTCTCTCTCTCCGCATTAAATGCGCCCCACGTCGCATTGATTGTTGAGATGAGGGTTGTCGTTTCGGGCGTGTCACACAATTAATGCTCTGCCAAAGCATTAACGCGTCAGCACACAACGCATTTAATGCGCCTGGCAGACGCCTAACATGTGCAGAGCGTTTGTCAGTGCGGAAATGATCTCATTAAATCTCCATCTTTAAGGCACGACAAGGAACGCCCGATGAAGCCAGGACGCTTGGGCGATGGCTGTCAGGTCGTTCAGACAAGGTTCGCGCGAGGTCGTGTTCGCAAAAGGTCCTATCCCGAGCTTCTTTCGTTCAAGTCGGAATGGTCAGAACCTCCATTCGCGGCATGACTTAGTTTCCAAGGTTTGATCCTCAAACCTTAAAAACTAGGGGACTTCTGTTATGCTTGGGAAATCAAGGGCTGACGTGGGAAATCACGTGATGGGGGGTGACCTGCTCCCGTCAGAACGGTAAGCGCACGTCAGGCCTGCCAAACGCCATGGACCCCTCACGTGTCCATTCCCTGCTCCAAATCGCGTGAAATCAGCTTGGAAGGTGGGTAATGTGACGTAAAGCCAGATTTAGCCTTAACATTCACACCAACCCACGGATTTAATGATGATTACTTGCACTCATCTCACTATAAAAAAGAGAAGTCCCTTTCATTGAGGGGATTCGGCCTTTTTACACTCTGAATTAACTTTCTCTCTCTCTCACTTGTATCCTTGTATTTATTTTTACTTAATCATTTGTAAGTCAGTCCGCTGTTGCGACCTGACCCACAATATCAATACAACCATCAGTGGACGTAGGACTTGCTACCTTAGCATCCGAACTATTTTAAAAAGCTCTCATTATTGCATTTACTCTTCACAATATTCATATTCATGTGTCTCTTGGCCAATCAACGTTACGCACGTGTCGATTAGTTGGTGTCAAAATCACGCATCAACAGTAATGGTTGAGAAGGATACTGTCGATGCGGCCACATCATTGACCTTATGTGACCGAGAGCGAGCTACGTGGCTTTTGAAGATGGGTTGGTCGGATTCGGACTAATTACATCACCAGCATATAAAAACACTGATTCCTGGGAAAGTGAAGTATAATTTACACACTCTCGTAAGTGCATATGCAATTTAGTTGATAAAAAAAGTGTTATGCCTGCAAATCTCTAAAGTTATACCAAATTCACAACCTAATTTTTGTAATTAGACTCGTCCAATCCATAGCAATAATAATAATTCTTGTTCAACTCTTCTCTCTCGTAATGTGTATGAATACCGAGTATACTTGGATTATTAGATGAGAACAGGTTTTAACCACTATATCCTTCCATTACATGAGTTAAATGACATTCATGATGAAGAACAGTAGTGATCAAAGATAGTTTACTTAATAACAAGCTAAGCGCACACGTGTGGTCAGTTGCTGTGAGCTTGATAGAGCCTCCAGTTCATATTGCAGCTAGATTATCATGTAGTCAATAAAACTAGTATTTGCAAGGAAGAATCGGAAGCAAATAACCAATACAACTCGCAAACCGATTTTTTTCCCAACTTCTAAAATGATAAATAAAACATGATTAGCTTTAGAAAATTTAGACAAAAAATTGGCAACTTTCTCCAATTATCACAACACTCCACCATTCGGGATACTAACTCTCAATAGAATAGAAGTTATCTCTAGCTCCGGAACTACCCAAGATCTTGTTCTTTCTTTCTAGGCTGCGTAAACTGTTGTATTCAAGGCTCCTTCACTTCTTCGGGGGAAGAGAGGTGCTGTGGGAAGTAAAATAATTTATTAACCTGCAAGTTTGCTTCAGTTTCAAGACCTCTCAATAGAATATAGTATTGAAACATGAGAGTTGAATATAGCAAAACCAAAACGTAAAAGTTTACACAACTTACTAATGCCATCTGTTTTTTGGCCTTGAACTCTGAAATATAAACTGCAAGAAGCCAGACTACCCGTTTCAAGATAAATGGCAAGTTTTATCCAACTCATCAAATTGATCAACCACAGGAGAACATTGATTTTGGACCAAGCAATCAATGAATCGACTCATATCCATACCAAGTGGAAACCGAGTCTAGAGCTACCAATACAAAGTCAATGCAACCAACCCACTACTCATATAACCAATATCTTACAACCTACATTCACTTTTCTTAATTACCAAAGTTATAAAAACAAAAGTTCATGATCAATTATTAGACTCATTTCCTTCGAGAAGGTCAATCTCCTGCAAAACTCAGATTTGATAATACAACTATGATTCTTAACTAATCCAAAACTACCAGAAATTTGATATTAACAATTGATTTCAACTTGAACCAGAAAACGGAAACAGATCTTACATGAATTGAATTTATATGCCACCACTAATCAGAGCTCACTTTTTTTAAGCTTGCCATGTATGTCAGATAAATTGTCCAAATGTATGCACACGAACTGTTCACCAATGGCTGCAAACAAAAATTTAAGAAACTATTAGTTCAGCCAATAGAGCATAAGTCCGTCAATTCGGATCTAAACTAAATCCAATCTAGTAAAATTAGTTGGAAACTACTCTCAGTACCTGTAGATGAACAGGTACAAATTTGTATGTAATGAAATCACATATTGGCCAGTACAATAGACCTGTTGCCAATGTTGGAAGAAGGTCACGTTTCAATCTTGCTGTAATCTCCCCACCACTTTCACCTAAATTTGACAGAAAGTAATAACTCAACAACCCATGCACAAGCAAAATGTCTTTAATGACTACAGAATTAGAACTTCAATGGAACAAATAAGAGAGAGGAAATTCGCCTTTATCCTGATTTTCCATGTTGCAACACTGAAAACCCTGGACATCCTACTGTTGGAGCCAGGATTCAGACGCTCAGGTCCAAGCTAGTTAATTTAAGTACAAGATTAATGAACTACATGACTCCAAAGCCAAATGAATCCCCATAGAAGCATGCTGGCAGCCAATGACAGTCAAGTATGGTCCCATTACTAAACAAATATGGCCAAAAAATGACTATGATGTCCAAACAATGATCACCAATCCACAGGAGGAGACAAACTAGTAGTGATGCAATTAACAGTTACCACAAAAAAATTGCGGGTTAAAAACGAGTTATAGACCAGGAAACAATCCATGAGCAGGCCTAAGTGTTGTGTTTTAGTAAGTCCATATGGATGGCCATAGTGGGTCCACTTACATGAAGAAAGTTGAAAAAAAATAGCATCTATAGGTGATCACAATGTGATAGCGAATAGGAAAAATGAAAATACCTTGTAAAGATGCATTATAGGAGAAGAAAACAGCAGTAATAGAAGGGCCATATACAGCCTGGCCCATGAAAAGCTTCTTCAATGTTGTTAATGTATCCCGCTTTGGTAAAATTTTTGACATATAATTGAACCAAAAATGCTGTGATGGCCCTAAAATTAGCATCCCATATGCCGCCATGCGCAATGTCCTTATTGAATCAATAGAACTGAAAGACGGCGATGTAATAATCTGTATATAATAATACACAGTAAATACACACGTTAAAATGTTTTGAGTACCCAGTTAGACTATATAATTATACAGAAAAACTAGATAGGTTCATACTTCTGCAGTATAACGTATAGTGTCAAACATTCATTATCACTCTTAAAAGAAAATACCCTATTAAAAGAAGTTATTAACACATTCACCACAATATAATAAAATGGATTCATTAAAAACACACGCATGCACCTGCGATGTTAAGTCAGCGGCTGCGTAAATAAGCGAGGATGTTATGCTTTTGGTAATGAGTGGATAGGACTCCAGCTTGCCCAAATACCATCCCAAAAATCCAATCTTCGACTCAGTAGAATATTTTTGTAAAGTTGAAAATGGGAGAGAATGAGATGGAAAATTGCTTGAAGGATAAACTTTGACGTCTCTGATTTTGCTGAGTCGCTGGGGAAACCGGGAATAGTTGGATCTCCATTGTTGGTTTGTGACAAAATGTTCGATATAGAAATTGACATCGAGTAGGGGTTGCTTCTCTGAGCGACGATGGAGGCAGCGGTCGCTTAAGTGTTTTATGGATTTGCATTTGCTGCCCATTTCTCAAACTTTAGACGGGAAATATGTTGTCAGTTCCTCGTATTTATTCCGGGTGGCTCCACGAAGATTCAGGTTTTCTCCTCCAGAGGCCATAGCTGTCACTATGTCGGGCTGACACGGGGCCCTAGCCAGTCCAACAAAAAAAAATGGGTTAGCAACGAACGAAGCCCGTTATGGACCAAAGTTGGGCTTATATTTTAGCCTCCAGAACCCACTTGAACACAGAAAGAATCTTTTCAAAATTAAATCAAAAGTTCAAAACCGCATTTTATCATGGTTATATGATATTTAATTTGAAACAAAATAACTGAATAGATAGGTGAAACTAAGCAGAAAGGTGAACCAATGAATTCTAATACTTTACGGACACAATTTCGTACAAGTTGTATCAAACTTATATTCAACCAATACAAGCACAACATGAGTGTAAAATATATTCGATTAATAAATTCATACAAATATATCATGGTGTAAGAAATATATAGCTTATGACAATGTTATGGGTGTAATATTATTATATATATACATATATATTTTTGAATTCTATAATAGAAATAAAAGGTTATATGCTTTTAGAATTCTTATGGATTTATGTTTCTATAACTATACAATTCATCATTTTGGTTGATATTCGACTCCCTTAAGAGAATTTAACAAGTTTCTATTTTCGTGAATAATTGAACTGTTAATCTTAGTATTAAAATTTGCTTTTGGGATAGAGAAAGAGAATTATGAACATATTTTATCTCAAATTTAATTATATTTAAGGAGAAATTACAACTTCAACCCTTTTTTTTAATTCGTAAATCACAAGTCAGTGAGTCACAACACAGAGGACGCGCAGGGGTATTTCTTAATTTTGGCCATTTAATATTCCTCTTACATGACAGAAAAGAAAACATTGTAGCCCTTACTCCTGCTATTTCTAAAACTTCAGGGGTATGTTTATAAAAATAAAAAACTATAGTTCAATTCAGGGGTATGTTTATAAAAATAAAAAACTATAGTTCAATTCAGGGGTATGTTTATAAAAATAAAAAACTATAGTTCAATAAGTATTAGGGTATAAAAGCCAAAGCCTTTACCTGATTAATTATGCCATTGTTCATGCATCGCAAATCCTGTTTTCTCATTCGTGATCATTCTTATGTATAGATTGATTATATTTTATATTTGATTTTTAGTGGAATAATGCATTGTTTCTCTCCGCTCTCTAAATTATATTAGAGTTTTCAGATTCTTACGGTAAGCGAGGGGTATCTACCACCTGGTCAAGAAAATTCTCCTGTTACCCAGTGGTGAGACAACGCAACCACAGGCGGAGGTGCTCAAAAGCCTAAATGGACCCCATAATGAAGCTCCTCGAAGAAGACGAGGTTGTCTCTAATTATATCTCTTCACGAATTATCGCAGATTTTAATAATTTTGAGTTTTATAATTTATCTGTTGCGATGTTCCAATGAACCCAGGACGAGTCTATGCATTCGGGGGCAGACGTTGAGGCGTTCCAGGCTGCGTTAAACCGAGATATAGGAGGCGATGCGTCTACTTCTCAACCATCTGATTCAGATTCTGGTATAAGATTGAACTTTTTGCTTCTTTTTTTTTTTTTAAATTTTTTTTAAGATAAAAAAATTCTGTCTATGCAGTTTTTTCACTCCCAGGTAGAAATTAGATGTAGTTAGCAAGGTTTACAGGTATATTAGCGGCTTTAAGAGTGGCAACGACTTGAGAATTTTTTAAGTAATATGTAGATTGAGAGTGAAATTGGATTTGAGTCTGCAAAAGTCAGTGAATGGTTTGTCAATTCAGTGATTTGAGAGTTCGTAGATGACATAAATTCGGGTCTTCAGTAATGCACCAAGTTGATAATTTTTGTAGATTGTGCAAATGGAATGTGACTATCATTATTAGTGTGAGAATCGGAAAGTGGATTAAGAAATGTTGTCGCTAAACTTTTTTTTTTTTTCGAAAAAAAGCTCTTGTTATTATTGGCTTATAGATGGTTTTTAGCTCTCCGGCCTTTTTGATACTAATAAATAGGGTAAATTTCAGCAACTTGTCATATAGTATAACCTAAATATAAAAAGAAAAGGTTGTTTTTCAGATTTGGTGGAAAGTTGCCCTTGAATTTGTGAAATTTGTGAAAAATATCCCCTAATCTCTTTGTTTTATGATGTTTGCAATTGGAAATGACAACAGCTTTGTCTCAAGGAAAAGAAAGCAATCATGCCTCTGGTCAGCCAATTTTGCAGTGGCAAAATGTAAGCCAAGATGACAATAAACAGTTTCAGTATCAACACGGTCTAGAAAGTGTACAGCAGGAAGAGCAACCTTCGTCAGAGGTGGAGCTAAAGCAACTTGGATCTATTACTGAGAATCAGCAGCCACAGAATGACAGCTCAGTCTCAGAGGAACACAACCGCCTTCTTCTACAGCAGAAACAATCCCAAGATGATTCTCCACAAGCACCAGCAGAACATACTCCCACTCAGGTTCCTCAAACAGCCTCAATGCAGATTTCTGAAAAAAATCCTATCCCAGCACGTGAGCCAGAGAAAACACACAATCAAGGGAGTGAATCTCAATTTTCAAAAATACAGAAGATGGGAAATCAACAGGCAGTGGCCACGGAGCAGGCGAGTAACCCTATGAATCGTGGGAAACAAGTTCCATTTGCCTTGTTGCTTCCTGCCTTAATACCACATCTTGACAAAGATAGAGCCATGCAGCTGCATACTCTATATGGTAAACTGAAGGTTGGTCTCCGACATGTATTTCTTGATCAACTAGTCTGTTTTTCTTGCATGTGATGGTCTAGGTGTCTCACATTTTGTCCTGATTTCTCTGTTGCATAGAAAAACGAAATTCTTAAAGATATATTTGTCCGACACATGAGGGACATTGTAGGGGACCAGATGCTCAGATTGGCAGTAAGTAAGATGCAATCACAGGTAACTAAAGAATGAGCTTAATTTAATTATGATGAAGATAGTACTCTCTTGGTCAATTGAATGTTATTGTCAGGATTAAGTTAAACTAGTCTATCCCATAATCACAGATGGGTACCAAACAGTTCCAGTTACAGTCCCAAGCTTCAGCACGCCAACAGCATTTAAGGATGCCATCTCCAACTGCTGGTGCCACACAATTCTCTGATACCCATTCATTTGCACCACTTCATCATAAAGGTTCCAACTCTACTGCAGATCCAGCTCATGCTCCCGCCTCAACAGTTCAAATGCAGGTGGGTTCAACTTTTGCAATTAAAGAAAACAATGCTCAAAAACCTAGAGAGCTGGAACGTCAACCAGGTTCTCATGGAATACATGCAAGCCAAATGGCTTCCTCCAGTCCAAGCACTGTCAATCAAGAGAGGGAACGCTCTTCTGTTCCTGTACAAGGACTTAACAAGCAGCAACAACAACATTTGCACTTTCCACAAACTTCCTTTCCCATGTATGGAAGTGGCGGTGGTAATTATCACCCATATTCTGCAACAAATGTCAATCCACCTGGATCATCTCTGAAACCACATCCTCATGATTCACAAATGAGGCAAATTAGTCATCCTCAGAACATGGGATCAGCTTCATCAGGAGGGGCAAGCCAAGCCATGAGCACGATTAATGTGCCTAAGTTTGAGAGGCAAAACTCTATTAATGAGCCGGGTAAAGTGCAGGGTGGTTCGATTTCTCACTTTACAAATAGTTCAACATCTCAACAGAACACAGTTCCTTGGCAACCACCAACAAATAAAGAGCATAATTCTGGCCCGTTGTCATCAATGACATATGTAAAGCCAGAGCCGGTTGATCAGGGTATTGACCAGCAGCACAAATCCCTTCCATCTACCCCAAAAGGATTGTCTGTTGCACCAGTTGAACAGGGAAACGCAGTTCCTGGAACAATGAAGGATGAAGCTTTTGAGAAGCAATCTCCCAGAATTGGTTTCCCAACATCTACAAGTATGCTGCCCTCAAATTCAGTGTCTCCTTCCACAACAACACAGCAGGATCCAAATGTGTCGGTAATAAAATATTATTTATCTGGTTCCCGTTGCATTCGGTGTCACCAGTCTTGACACGCAATTTCCCATGTTATTATTGTGTTTCAATCTCCAAGAAAAATTGCTGCCTTTAGGATGCTAATTATATATTTATATTATAAACTTTAACTCCATTTGTAGAATGCTTTTGTTCAATTGTATAAAGCAATTTTTTTAATTTAAGTGATAATATATAGAAAAAACATGTTCCATTTACTTTCTCGCTCAAGTAAGTGAGTAGATTTTGTAGTCTGTATAGAGATATTTATTTAAAGGTTTACAATGATTCAGGGGGTAGCTGCAATATTTCAAATCTGATATGTGATATGGCATGCTTGAAATTCTGATAATTTTGCCAAATCATGATGACGTTAACTTTCTAAGCACATTGACTTAAAAGTGTAGATTATACTACTGAGGAATATCTCTTATGTAATACCTGCTGTTGAGTATGAGGTTTGTGGAGATCAAGATTTGCTTCAGTCAGTGTTGCTGTTAAGGAACATCTGTCTAGCATTGGAATGCCGAAGATTATAAAAAAAATTATTTGAAAAGATAGAAATCTTGAGGTGGAATTCAACTAGGTTGTTGGTATATGCTCACTTAAAAATGACTATCTAAAGAATTGATCCTGATTGATTTTGTTAAGAGCTTCATTTTTGGTCAATTGTCTTTCAAAGATAAAGATCCTTGGATTAGATTTAAAAGGTTTATCTGTCTATATTGATCTCCTAGCAATAGTGGAAAAACACTTAGTTTCTCCTTACGACTCTTTTGCTGTGACATGCCGATCTAAATATTGGTATATTGAGAAGTTCCCTTAGATCAGAATTATAAAACCTTCTCTATGCCAACTCAAAATTTCATTTGTAAATATCATCTTCCAGAGTAATAGTTATGTCTAATGTGCTTGGAAATTAGCATTTTAGTGCATTTATGCTCTTTACGATCC